TAGTGAAGAGGGAACAATGGGAAAGTCTGGAAGAGCCACTCAAAGAGGCAAATTCCAAAATCAGCCTCAGAGGGTGCACCCGGATAAAAGCAGAGTGACATCTGGGGAAACCTCAGAGGGTAACGATGGGAACCTGGCTATGGTTCACAACAGTGAAGGTAAGACCACTCATTGAGAGGCAACCAAAGGTTTTTAAAAAGTATGAAAATTAGTTAAAAAAGATGTTTAAATGATAATATTCCAACAGAAACCAGAGAATACAGCAGCCCTGAAGCATAGGTGTTTGGTAAGAACATATTTCCTTGACTAAAGTTAGAAATAAAGTAACTGATTGTTAATGCATGCAGTTCTCATGAAATGTTGTTTCTTTTATCTTTAACCCTCACAGATTCCAGCATCTTATCTCCAGGCAGGACTGGATGGAGACTTCTTTTTTCTTCATTTTTTTCTGAAACTCATTAATTTCTAATGTCTCTTTTAACAATGGATGGCTTAAAGTATCGTTGGTGCATGCAATTCATCTGCTGTAAATATATACACAGAGTTTTCCTATGTTTTTCAGAGCTGCTTCTTTTCCATGAGTCAGGAGCCTCCATAGGTTGACTCATCAGAAGCAGACAGGATGATTCAAACGCACCTAATGCTGGGGATTTCTTTATTACCTTCAAATAGAAGTTTTTTTCTCCCTGTTTTTGTATTTTTATCTAAATCTGTGGTTTGTTTGAATCCTGTTTTGGGAGTAAATCAAGAATGAGCTGCTTGTAGTAAAAGCTTGTGTATGAAACTTGCAATCACAATAAATAAAGGGGATTTTAATTTGTTTGGCTAAACATTGATTGTGAAATTGAATTTTATTTGTCATTAAATACAAAAAAAAAACATAAATTACAAATGGGACCTGCATGAAATATCATTTTCCAATGCATTCTCATCCAGCACAGATTAAATCACCTTCATGAAAAACACTAAATCCCTGCAGACTGTTTATCATTAGAAGCTAAAAGAATACAAATGATTATTTAACACATTTCTTTTAAAGATTTCAAAAGCAGTCACAAGCAGGAAGCTTTTACAGTTTTCCTCATCCTATCATTTGCTAATGTGTCGAAGCTCATTGTAGATATCCGACTGGACTCCGTGTAATTCCTTTAAAGCCAAGTAAACAGATAAAATAAATAACTATCCATATATACTTTGTTGTAAAACATCTTTTAAATGTTCAAATAATGCATAAAAAGATTTTTTTATAGATATATAATCAGTTACATAGTAAGATTTTTTTTTATGTATCATTATGTATTTTAGTCGTCATGTAAAAATATCAAATTATTCAATTTTCAACGCTAAATATTTTACCTCATATGGAGATTCTGTCAGTTCTGGTGTAATTTTCTTTGAAGCAGATAAAGGTAGATTTCTTCTTCCTATATGCAACAAGGGAAAATGATTGATGTACTCCTCAGGGTTCAAGAAAAAACACAGAACGTTGATAAAATACTAGAGAAGTTTACAAGTTTACCATCATGAGTCTCTCGCTCCCGTCTTCTCCTGTGCAGACTAGTGAAGCAGAACACACAAATGATGAGGAATATGGACAAGATAATGTCAGAGGCAATGATGCCAATCACGGAGCCCACATTAATTAGGTAGCAGGGGCCACAGTCTGTGAGTAAACATGAGAAAAAGGAGATTTTAAACAGAGTAGAGGATCAGATCAATGTGTTTATTTAAAGAAAAATGTTGAAAAAAATCTACCATGCTGTCCTTCCCCTGAGCCTGAAAGAGATAAATGTTTGAAGCATCAGAGAATGCATACTTCTAAGCTTTTGCTGTAATGCAGTATAAATGTATAAGTCTCACCAAACATGGAGCCCACAACACAGAGCGCATCGGGCATTTTCTCAGATGAGGAGGAAGAGACAATCCAAAGATTAGTAGATGTTTTCTTCTTTGTTAAATAGCTGCTTTTTTGTGTCCATGAACAGGATGCTGGAAGTCAGAGTAAGGGTTGGAGTCTCCACGGTCAGTACTGTATCAGAAAGTAGGTTTGTCTGCAAGAGAAGGAGGAGCACAAAGAGGGACACCACTGACAGAAGAGGAAGTTACAGTCTCTGCTGTATCTCTTTTCTAATACACATGATATTTGTACAAATGGTCTTTGTCAGAATAGAAAAGCATAATATCACCAAAATTTAGGCCACAATCAAGATTATATTGTAATTTAAACGGAATAATCCAAATAAAAATAGCTGCAGAAGCCAGCAGCTTCAGGTTCCTTTTATCTCAAACTTAGTTTTTGCTGAAATACGAGTGATCATATCATCAGAAAATTTCCTGATGCTGTGTGGTTAAGCGCAGGTGGCTGGCTGAGGTCAGTAATGCCTGGTTTGAAAGGCCTTCACCACAGCTTTAGTCTGAAACAACACTATCCTGCCAGCAAACTGAAACTAAAGTTTTTCTCACTGATTTGGAGCGGAAACTTCTTTTTTTTAATGTTCCATAACCCAATGATGTTTTACATCATCAAATATAGTGCTCTCCCTAATTATTTACTGACACAAAAGCATTTCTATGGTTTTGTGTCATGGTTCAATACACCGGAGGCTATGAAACCACAAATAAGTAGTGTAGGATGTTGGCAGACATGTGTCTCACTGTCTCGGGGCGACAGTGGCGTTGGATGTAGGAGTTTGCCCTGAAATCGAAGGGTTGACGGTTCAAGCCCCGACTCTGACTTTCATTGTCGTTGTGTCCTTGGGCAAGACACTTCACCTGCATTGTCTACTGATGGTGGTCAGAGGGCCCGGTGGCGCCAGTGTACGGCAGCCTCGCTTCTGTCAGTGAGCCCCAGGGCAGCTGTGGCTACAATGTAGCTTGCCACCATCAGTGTGTGAGTGTGTGCGTGAATAGGTGAATGAATGTAGTGTAAAGCGCTTTGGTCAAGTCTCCTAACTTGAATAAAGGCGCTATATAAGTACATGCCATTTACCATTTACTTTATGACAAGAACAGCATCTAAATATGCAAAATTAAACAGGCAAATTGGATCAAGGAGACACCTAAGCCCTTGTAGTTTAGAGACTTATAGTTTAGGGGTGTTGAAGCAAAGACGGCGGAAATAATGTTCAAGCCAAACAATTCTGGTTTTCATGTTTTTGAAAAGAAAAACATATTTCACTTTTCATGACTTTCACTTTTTGAATAAGCACTCTGTGTTTCTTTGAAATTCTTAAGAACTGTAAAGGACTAAATATGAGCAAACAGCACCAGCCAAACCTTTAATTAAACCACCTATAAAATAAAATCCATGCCATACTAATATGATAACTGTTCACTGGGAAATTTATTATAATGATAATAAATCATTCTTAAAAGAGGGGATTTTGATGTCTAATTAACTTAAACAGAATTTTTGGTTTTCAGTAACCGTAAACCATAATAATCAAAATAACATAAAATAAAGGCTTGCAATATTATACAATATTTGTATAAACATACCGTATATATATTACTTTTGTTTTCTTAAACAGTCACCAAAATATTTAACCTTTTTACAAAATTCTTATATATTCAAATTTTTTGTACCTGCAGTATTGGCAAAAAAAAAAGACATTTCTTTTTTATCAGAGTTTTTTAATGTTAATCCAGTTATTTTTCACAGAAGATTTTAATTTGTATTTTTATTCTTGTATTAATGTACTGGTCTATGGTAAAGCAACTGCTTCCACCTCATAAATAAACACATTAACCAAAGGTACACATATGTGAAATAAGACAGATTTCTCAACCTATTAATCAAAGCTCAAATGTGTTTTACTGTTATTCTCAGGTTAGGTAGAAGCTGCTTTCATAAACTGAACCTGTAGAAATGTAGTCAGATCTGTGGGATAAAAAATAAAAAAAATCCCTCCAAAATGACGGGCAAAATGGACGCTGAGTGTCCAGAAGATTCTCAGATTGTTGAAGTAAGGAATGAAGCAACCATTTAGACAAGGTCAAGACAGATTAGCCAGACAATGCTAAGATATAAGACTGGTCTTGGTCAACATGTTTTCTTCATTTGACTCCAGGCGCAGTTTCACTGCAAGATTTGATCAGCAAAACAGTAAGACTTAACGGATGTGGCTTCAAAACAGGTCACAATACTTAAAAGGTCACGGTAAAGCCATGATAGACCAGATATCAATGGACTAAATAGAAAAACTGTTAAGCTTTATAAACATAAAGAAATATTTACCATACAAACGTGTATTATAATTTCATTGCAGAAAAATAAAAACAGAGAAAAACAAATATGTAAGTTTTTTTTTTTCTAAACATTCAACATGATCATAATAGTGCAGGGCAAAAAGATGTGTTTAGAAGTAAAAAGAAAAACTCCTCATATTCACATGGTTTGGTGTGCATTCCTTAGTTTTGCATTCCTTAATTTTGATTATTTAAACTTGATTTGTACCTGTCAGAAATATTTGATACTGATGACAGTATCACTACTTTGTAAAAAAAAAAAAAAAAAAAAAAAAAACTGATTAAAAACTTACTTAACCTAGAAAAAGTTCTTAAGAATAAAGCCATAACATGATATTAGGTCATCTTTACATAAAAAATGGTTAGTTTAAGGCTAACCAACAGATACTCGCATTTTAACCCTTGCCTAGCTTGTTGTCAACCAAAAACTACCTGTCGAGGGTGCTATTGAGTAAGTATAGACACTATGCCACGATGCTCTCAAAATGAGCTGTTCACATTGTTTATTCCTTTATTCGTGATGCTTATAATTCCATGTATAGTATAAAGTCCATTTTGCATTTGAAAATTTATCAAAATGTAAAAATTTTTATAGATTTTACATTAAATTGCTAATAATAGTAATTGTGTAGTAGTGTACTTACAAAGTGGGAAACTTAGAAAATGCTGGAATATTTTTTAGACATTGTCATTAAAAAAAGTTCTCAAAAATTTTTGGCACCCATGATAAAAAGAAAAAAATGAGTAATAGCTTTCAAAACAAACAATCTTTTATTGCAGCAACAAAATCTAGCACTGAAAGATGTTTAGAAATCACACGATTGGTTTAGTAGGGTTATTCAAAAAAAAAAAAAAAAAGAAACCCAAGAAACAGAATCATTAAAGTAAAACATGATTTTAGGCAACATTTAAAGTGTTACTCCTAATGGTGCTCCTGATGATGCTGAAAAAGTAACCCAAAGTAAATTAAATTGAGTATTAACTTTAATGAACTTTTTCTTGGGGCATAGCTGTGAATTGACAGAGTAGATAAATTGTTTTTAAAACGTTCAAAGCAGGAAAATGAAAAAGATCATGACATTGAAATAAGCTTGTTGGGTATGGATACCCATAAGTTAGAAAATAGTTTCCTAAAAAATAAGTGCTGACTAAGAATTGCAAACAATATGCATACAATATATACAATCAGAGCACTTCTCGAAAGATGATTAAACAGTTGGTGCTATGATAAACAAGGCATGAGGAGTTATTATTGTCAACTTACAGATGTTCGGAGTATGATTAGAGGTAAAAAAAAAAATCATTTAGCCCACCAATAGAAAAAGACAGTCAATTTTATGTTACACAACATAATTACATTTTGTTTAAAATTATTTTTTCCACCAAATGTAGCATAACTGTGGAGTTTTTTGTAAAAAAAATAGTTGTATTAAAAACCTACTAAAGCAACCAAATCAGGCAAATAATGAATCAAATCTTCATTCTTTATTCTTGATGTTGGCCCGAACATTCATATAAATCTTGTCAGCTGTAAAGAGATAAAAGAAAATATAAACAACATTTAAATATAAATAGGGCCTTAGCAACATAATGAGATATTAAACTGAAGAAGTTTTTGGTAGGATATCAACGTATATTCAAATCCGTCCCTCACCATTATCTACTTTCTGACGCCGGTAGCTTGCATATTTGTAGGTGATACCAACAATGAGAAGAGTCAGCATCAAATCTGCAGAGATGATGCCTGCCATAGTGCCCGGCTCAATTCTGTAGCAAGACACATTGCTGCCTGGTAGGCAGGTGCAAACAGAAAAGGTTACAGAAAATAAATTGGTTGAGAAACAAAAAACAGAGACACGATTGGAAAAAATTATTTGTCAAGTTTAAAGTTAACTGATTCTTTTCTTTTACGTCGTTGTAATTGTGGGATTTCAGCAATGGATTTCAGAACCCTAATGTTTTCTGTGCAATGCACATACCTGCTAGTGCCCCACTCAGACCTAAAAAACAGAAAAGATAAAAACAAGGACACATCAGAAATTAGGCCCTTTAATGCTGATATTGAAGAGCTTTTGTCACATCTAACAGCTTTTGTGGTTACCTCTTCCTGTGTCAGACCACCTAAATGTGGAGAGTATTTGTGCAAAATGCAGAGCAGAAGAGCTGTGAAATGATACTTACTGCACAGAAGAGAAACCAGAACAACAACGTTGTTGGCCATAACTTTGTCAGTTCACTTCTGTTGACTCTGCAGAGCAAAAGATTGAGGAGGAGCTCTCAGAGACATTAAAAAAATTAATAATCCTTCTGTTTTACTAGATTTGATAGCAGTATAATGAATAAATTCCCTATAAACTGTGTTAGAAACCGTGGGGTGGACTTTTCCATTTGCACCATGAAACAAACAACTCCTCTACTAGTCAGACGCTTCCGTGTGGGTAGAAAAAACACCAGACAAAAGGAGATAAAAAGTAACTGGAAAAAAAACAACAACATCTTTATAACATTATTTTTAAAAACTGCTAACTGCTAACATTTGCTCTTAAAATATATTACGCTGAGGGAACTAAAAAGTATATCTGATATTTTGTAGCAGCCGAAAATAACATGCAAACCTTAAATGGTGTTAATGTAAGAAATAAAAATTCCAGGAACTGACATGAGGAAGAGAAAATCAGTGTCAAGAGTAAGCGCTACGTACCTTCTCTGTTGGGTTTCATGTGTCTTGTGCGTTCCAAAAGATGAAGTGTGTATGGTTTGTGCTTCAGGGGGGTGACGTCTGACTTCCTCCAGTGGGCTGAAACACTGCTTGTGAATCTTTGTCTAAAAAAGACAAGTCAAAACTGTGTAAGCACTGCTTACATACTTTAAATGCTGTTATGATTAGGCATTACACTTAAGCTATGTCTTAAAAAAAAAACAAAAAAAAATACTATATATATATCTCTATATCAGCATCTCTAGGTTCAAATGTTCTACATCAACATGAACGCTGATCAACTACAGGAGGGTGATAAACTGTGTAGGACATACAACCTTCATCACCTTCCTATAGGGGAGGGTGACAAAGTGAGGTGACATAAATTGTAGGTAGTTAAAAGGTCATTACTTGGCTCAAAATCTGACAGTTAACAGTTTATATTTTGCCAATGCAAATACTAAGCTGGCAGATGTTATTCATAAACTGTCTGTGTACACTTCCCTATTTAAACCAACCTTTTTATTTTTAAGTTATCATTAGTTGTAATTCCTGTCTGATCCTTTAGTGCAATAATAATTTAAGATGGAAAAATCATTACTATCTCTCTAACATTGCTTTTTGTAAGGTCAGCATTTAAGTTTTAACAAGTAAATGCACAATTACATTTCACATGTTTTAAAAAGAGAGTTTTTTGCTCTTGATACTCACCTTCTTTCTCTCTTGGCCTCCATCACATCCAAAAATTAGGACAGTAAATATGTCCCAACTGTGACACAATACAGAGTTTGTTATTCAATATTCCTTAAAATGACAGACACCGGCAGTAAGTAACTAAAGAAGTCCTGCTGCCTTTTGGGACTCCTGAGGCAGGAAGCAGGTACATGTAGGAAGCAGGTTTAGCATGCTACGGCCCAGGGGTGGCCGAATAAAAACATTAAAAACTGAGAGGACTAACCATGGAGAAAGAGAATCAGTTGACCTCAGAGCATTTCTGGCAATCTGTGCAGTGCTTCAGAGAGGAAAGCAATGCTTTGGTAACACAGTTTATAATAGGCGCTGTGAGATGGTGACCTTGACTGAGGATATTGGAAGAGTGGAAGGAATACTTTGAGAATCTCCTCAACCTCACCCAAGCTTAAGGCACAGAGGTGGTAAAAAAAAACAAAAAAAAAACTCCATGGTGGCAAGACTTTTGGGGTGGATAAGATCCATCCTGAATATCTTCAGTATCTTAGTGTTGTTGGACGACCCTGGTTGATATCTAAGCCTTGACTTGCAGACTGGGCTGGCAGTTCTCCTTCATACTGTATGCAAAGTTAAATTTATGTTAACTTAGATATGTTATACTGGCCGGGCAACTATAGTTTCTGTTATATTGCAAGTTTGATTAAAGCAGACAGACGTTTTAGGTAATCTAGGAGCTGCAAGTGAACTATAGTTAACACAAAACACCTCGGCAGCTACACATGAATCCTAAATGATAAAACAAACTGAAACTATTTATCAGGATAAGACAAAATAAAAATAATATGCCACACATAATTCAGAACAACTTTAACCTAGATTTTCATACACAAAATAGCCATTGCTAGGGGAACCACTGCAGGGATTGGGACGCAAACTCCCAATGTCTTTATTTGGTGACATAAAAGGCTGCTCTGTTTATCTGCACATTACTATTACAAGGACATTTGATTTGAATTGGCATCAATATTAATACAACCAAAATGCATGCACACATAAAAATGTCTGCAATTTATTTCTGCATAAAATGATAGTTAGGTTGTTTGTATGAGTTTGAAATGGATTGTCAAATGTAGTTTTACAGAGACTTAGTTTTTGTCAAGGAAAAACAGACCTATATGCTACTTATACACTTGGAATTCCTGTTATGCTGTGCATCTATCCTGACATTGTATTAATTTCTGTTCCAGACTGAAGATACACAACCTCCAACAACCACCCAGAAACAATGACAGGCCAGCTATACAAGCTTCCTTAATTGCCCACACCAAATACAAAGCTGACTCTCAGGACAAGAAAACTATGCCTTTTTCACCTTAAATACTGTACCTTTATATACTATGTGAACTAGCTGGCAGGAAACTCAGTTGGAGTTTTTTTTTTTTTTAAACAACATTGATCTCAATTCTATTTATTTTATTATTCTATGTGAACTAGCTTTAAACAGCCAGCACTTGTGTAAAGTTCATAAGACATTTAATTTAATTTATTTGTTTCCTTTGTCAGGTGTATTTTATTTGTTTTAATGTTCAAAATAAATATGCAAATATTTTTAGAACATCTTCCATGTCTGCATGTGTTCCTTGAAATTGTGTTTTTTTTTTATCAAAAAGATGAGAGAAAATGTTGAAATGCGTAATGATTTTAGGAAATGTTAAATATTATCTGCTGACAAAAAAGTAAAAGGTTAAAATTATGTCCTGACTAAAACTAGAATAAAATGTTGACAGTTTTTCTTGACTAAAACTATACGAATAAAATTATGTTTTCTTGGACTAAAATAAAGACTAAAATGCTCTGGCTTATAGTCGACTAAAACTAGACTAAATAAAAATGGGATGATGTCGACTAAATATGATAAAAACTAAAAAGCGATTCTGAAACTGGACTAAAACTAAAACTAAATTTAAAAATGGCTGCTAAAATTAACACTACCATAAAGAATACATTATGAATGGAATATCTTCAGAACAGCTCCAAATGACACAAAACTAATATGGGTGAGTAGAACATGGTGTAATAACATAAAATCAAGGGCCCAATTAAAAAAAAACGGTGTTCCCCTTTAATTTTGATAAGGACTTCCCATTTAAAACCCATGTCAAAGAGCTTTCTAGAATTGTTTTCTTTCAAATACAGAATATCGCAACAACTAAAAAGGCTGATCCAAAATGCGACCAGTTTTGATAACAATAAAAAAGAGAGGTATTAGTTATCTTATCTTAGCTTCCCTTAATCGGCTTACTGTTTAAAATTGTCCTTCTCACAAAACAAAACCCCAAATAAACAAGCTTAATCTTATATCACAGATCTGATTGTTCCATATGTTACGAACAGTGTCGGGCACGTTACTTTGAAAAAGTTATTAGTTATAGTTACTAGTTACTTTTCCCAAAAAGTAACTGAGTTACTAACTGAGTTACTCCACAATAAAAGTAACTAGTTCCAAGTAAAAGTAACTATCCCGTTACTTTTGCATTTCTCGACCCCGTAACCCTCACCACCCCCGGCCCCCAACTTCTCTCCTTGTGTTTCAAAAGCCAGCTGAATAGAGCGGACGAAAAGACAAGTACCTGCAGAGAGTTTTGCATTTATTGCAACTCAACGTAAATGACATCGGGGGGGGGAAACGCTATCTCATGGGCCTATAAACCCCTTCAGATAACGTTCCCCCTGCTTAACATGGGGGAACGGTATCTGATGCGGTGTAAATATCATCAGGCTGCAATTCCTCTACTCATGGGTGTGAACTTTTTTAACAGTTTAACTGTTGGGCTCTTTTTGGCATCAAGACAATTATTCTTATTGCCACATTGCCAGAGAGGAAACTGTAAAAAAAAAAAAATTGTTTTATGTCCTACCCTGCTAAAATAATAATAAAAAAAGTTAAAGTAACTAAATATGATTAAGGAAAAGCCAAAAACTGTTGAATTATTTTTTCAGAGTATGTAGAACCTACAGCCAGGCTTGACTTATGTGGGCGGAGTTTATAGTTCCCGCCCACATAGTTTAGAATTCTGATGACATCATTACAGACATCAGAATACTACCAAGCATTCAATTTCCAGAATTCTCCTGTAACGTGTGCATCTCTTGAGTTAACTCCTTGTAATTAGAAAAGTAAAGACTTTTCCACAGAACAAATCTGCCCAGTTATCAGAAAAAGAAGCTTTTAGTTTAAAACAAAGCTTTGTGTTTTAATCCAACCAACAATTTTATTGTTTTCCTTAGGAGGCTGACTTGAATCAGCAACTAAGGCTGGAATTGACCAATTCGTCCTTTTTCATTTGCAAATCAGGTGAATTAAACGTTATAGCCGCCATGTCAACCATATCTAAATCAGGTAATACTATGGGAGTTACATCTGGTAGCACAGCTACAAACCCTTCTGGAAATGTGACTTGGGCTCAAGTTCTTACAAGTAAGAAAAAGCCAGAAAATGCTCCAAAAATAGCAGCGGGACCCACTTTGAGTCAAGTTTGTGCTTCTAAGCCTGTGGTGAAGCCATTGCAACCAGCCCCAGCTCGTGTTGAGGGACCAGCTAAAGCTGCAAAGCCTGAAAATCCAGGAAGAAATCCACTTTTACAACTTCAAAGTGCGAAAGCTGTTCATGGAGGACATGGAGCTGACAAAAAGACCGGACGTAATATGATTTCTAAGATTGAGTTTCAGAGAGCCTTAAGCTCCAGAGACTGGTTGATCACAGAACTTCAACATCAAAACAGGAGTTTAGCCCAACATATCAATGATCTCACTGCTGAGCTCAACAAATTAGAGGAAGCTCGTCAACATACCAACGAGAAAGCTAGGCAGCTGGAGTCTGAGCTAACTCCTAAAAGGAAAAAGGGTCAGAAGGCTGGGATCTGTTTAAGCTCAAAAGATTTGAGGATCATAGCTTCGCTACAAGAAATCATCAAGTTATCAGGAACAATTAAGAAAAATGTTGCTGTGTCTTTGGATGCAGGGTTTGGATATATCAATGAGAACGCTAGGCAGCTGGAGTCGGAGCTAACTGCTGAAAGGAAAAAGGTGCAGGAAGCAGAGACCTACTTACGCTCAAAAGATGAGATGATCACAGCACTGCAACAAGAAATCATCAAGTTATCAGAAACAACTAAGAAAAATGTTGCTGTGCCTCAGAAAATGGATGCAGGGTTTGGATATACTGTTGAGAAAGCTAGGCAGCTGGAGTCGGAGCTAACTGCTGTAAGGAAAAAGGTGCAGGAAGCAGAGACCTACTTACGCTCAAAAGACGAGCTGATCACAGCACTGCAACAAGAAAAAATCAAGTTATCAGCAACAATCCAAAGTTTTGTTGCCTTGCCTCAGAAAATGGAGACAGCGCGTCAGAATACCCACGAAAAAACTAGGCAGCTGGAATCTGAGCTAACTGCTCAAAGAAAAAAGGACCAGGAAAATGAAATCTACTTAAAATCTAAAGATGAGAAGATCGCAGCACTTCAACAAGAAAATATTAAATTATTAGAAATCTGCCAGAGACAAGCTGCTGATCTTCACAACATGGAGGCAGTGTGTAAAAATGCCAACGAGAAAGCCTGGCAGCTGGAGGCTGTGCTAAATGCTAATATGCAAAGGGTGCAGGAAGCTGGTTTCTGTATTAACTCAAAAGATCAGGAGATCGCCGCACTTCAACAAGAAAATGCTAAATTATCAAATTACTTGCAGAGACAAGCTGCTGATCTTCACAACATGGAGGTAGTGCGTAGAGATGCCAACGAAAAAGCCTGGCATCTGGAGACTGCGGCAACTGCTTTGAAGCAAAGGTTGCAGGAAGCTGCTATCTGCATAAGCTCAAAAGATAAGGAGATCGCAGCACTTAAACAAGAAAACATCAAATTATCAACAAACCAGAAGACGCATGCTGAGCACGAAACAATGCCAAAATATACCGACGAGGAAGCTAGACAGCTGGAGTCCACGGTAACTGCTCTCAAACAAAGTGTGGAGGAAGCTGAGATTTGC